ATTTAAAATGAGCCATCAGAAAGAAGTAGTGTCCAGAAGATTTGTTAAAATCTTCAACTAGTCTATGGCAAGTAGTAGTTCCAAAAAAAACCACCAAACCACAACAAAGTGAAGCACCTCCAGCTGAAGTGGTAGTCACGGGGTATAAACAACTGTAACCAATTTTTGAAAATAATGCAGAGATACAGCTGAAATAAACCTCAACACAAAGAACAAAAGCAAAACAATAAAATGAGATAAATATATGAACAGGCCATTGGAGAAAATGTTTCTAAGAGTGTCCAGCTGATCTTTAAAATATAAATCACAACTCACCAGTCAATGCTGCCTTAAATATTCCATCAAGAGACACCTCCCTGTTAAGCCCTCTAGTACATACTGGTCATGTATTTGCAGGGGCCACTTAAACAAATCAATTAGTCATTAGTACCTGGTGTGCATCCAGCTTAATGAAATAGTCTTTTCATCCGTTACCAGAGATCAGAAACAATCCCTGCAGAGTAAATGATGCAGTATCCTAGAAGTCATGCTGCGTTAACAACAGAGATCAGCGTTATAGAGATAATTTTAGAGCTTTACATAATTTTCAGTTTCAATAAAAATCTACATGTGGCTTACTAGGACAAGTTTGTTTGGTTAACTCCCGGGAATTAATGAGCTTACATTCATTTTATGGGGATTAAAGTCTGTTTAAAGTTTTTAGAAAGTTACCCAAGGTCTTACCTAGTTAGGAAGGTCACCAGCTTTCTTAAAGGACCAATGAGACAACAAAACCAGTGCAAGACTGTGACCCATACCCCCCACTCCTGACCCTGATGCGTATTTTATTTTTTTTTTCCCTCCAGCTAAGCATATGTTGATAGGGAACAGCCCTGTTAACTACAAAAACAAGCATCTACAAGAACAAGGGTGGGAGGGATAGCAAATAAAAGTTATACCATACAGCTAATACTAGCAAATCCAGAACCGGGGTAAATGCAGGAGCTGAGGAACCAAGCCTAGAGCCTGAAGTTACTCTATACGCAAAGCATGAGTTGGGCTAGGCAGCACGGAACAGCAATCCCAAACATTCATTTTGCAAAACGGGGCAAAGCCAGCAGCTAACTGATTCAAAGTGCAAACATCCTTACCTTCTCCGAAGCTTAGTTGCTCAAACCATTGCTGTAAACAGAAGGGATCAGCTATTCAGAACACGGACGCTACAGCCGCCTTCTCCTGATGGTGGGTGCTTCCACAAATTGATTAAAATTGAGCAGCTTCATTTTCACAAGCATGGGTGGGATCAAAGTCACCCACTTAATATAGTCATCATCTTAACTACAGGAGTATTGACCCAGGAAAGAAAGCGAGCTTTGATGCCCCCTGCATGCCCACCCATCAGTGCTGACAGAGCAGAGGAGTCTTACTCTTGCCTCTTTTGAAGCCAGGAAAGTGGAAGAGGTCAAGTCTGACCTTACACACCATCTTTTTTTGAACGCCTTTAAAAAGATTTACCATGTACATAAGAGGTAAGTGATGATAATTTACCTGCGTACTTGAACGCAGCCTCTCCAATGTGTGCTAATGCATGTCCTAATAGTAATTCCACCTACTGCAATTAGATCACGGCTTCCAAAATTTGTTCATTATACCATTTACACCATTACGAAAGCACCACTGGATATGTTTTCTCTGATCTTTCCTCTCACACAAGAGTGTTGTCACCTCTTGAAATTTAAGACAGACAAATACTTAAGCATCAGATATGTTTATTAGACAATTCAAAAAGTCAGTTTTATTAAACAATTCAAAAAGAAAAGTAGAATATGTCTAAATTTCCATGTTTTAATACTTCATCATCTCAAGAACCTGGCAACCACAGAAAATAAAAATAGTGTTTACAAAAGTTACAAAAGCTGCACTTTATTCCGAATTACAGAAAACATGGTTAGTTGACAAGGAAGCTTTATAAAAATGCAGTAACAGATTTTCAGCTGATTACGAAACACAGTGCTATTGCCACGTATATGCACTCACAAAATCAGCACAGTATTGAAGTTAAGGCACTTTGGATACACAGTATTCACTTCCACATAGGAAAACAATTTCAGAGAAACCACAGTAAATTGCTACTGGTAGATAGTGACAGTATGCCCAGTACTGGCCATCAAAGCACCAGGTTTGTGTGAATGAGTGAAGCTCTTGATAAAAAAAAGCATTGGCTTTTTTTTTTTTTTTTTACTCTGACAATTTGATATCGAAGACTCATTCAAGCAAATTTACTTTTAAACAGGTCAAGGAAGATTTCCACGATTTAAACACTGTTAAACATAATTTTTAAAGTTAAACATTTTAAAATAAAAGTCCACGGTGAAAACTGCATGAAGTTCACATTAAGGATTAGTGTACGTAGCCGCTTCAAAAGCAGACAAAAAGAGCACTGACTTTCTCCATTCCACATTCACCTGCCACTTCACGAGGTACCCACCAACCACAGTAATGCCAAAGGAAACACAGTACAACAGAACGATGTCCAAGCAGCAGCCTCTCTTCAGGACTGCACTTTCTGGTCCTCCCTTTCATTCTAGATTGTCATGCGTTTACTGCCTGTATCCCTGTCTGCCCCCAGCACACTATTTGCCAGTAGATCTAGAACAGACGCTACAAATACTGATTCTCAAAGTTAAAGAAAAATTCGTCTCAGATGTTTTTCATGCCACTGTTTTGAAAGCAAAATTTCATCAGTAACTGAGTAGGTTTGTAGACTTCTATTGCAGCCTTCGGTACATAACTTCTAAGAAGTAAAATACTCAAAAACATAACCCTGCAAGGACATCAGTACTTTAACAGGAGTTAAATAGAACTGTTAGCAATGACTTTAGGCATCTACGGGATCAGGCACTTAAAATGTGTCTTATTGTTGCTCTTTTACTTCACTGATTTGAACAAAAAATGCCATGGTATAGGAAAAAAAGCTTCTTCAAAAATCAAAGCAGGACTTATACACGGAATGTATGATTACTCTAACCAACCTGGCTCATAATTAGAACAGATAACAACCACAGCAGTGCTTTACAAATCAGTAGGGTGCAACAGATTTCACCTAAAGTCAGGAAGAAGACGCTGTTAGAGAACTTGTTTATGCACAGCATCTTTACAAGTATATTTCTGCTGTGTCTTTGATGAAGCATTAACATCCAGAAGAAAGCTGTCGTTTAATGTTAATTCTTCTTTTACAAGAATGAGATCCTAGACACACTACAGTATAAAATACAGATACTCAGCATTCCTCAGCACTGAACTGCTCACCTTATACACATCTGACATTTAGATTTAAAACATGTAAATGACCTTCCAGAAACCTGATATTCCTTTCCTATTTAAGTGATACTACATTACTTGGACCACAGAGTGATTTCTGTACCCTTCTAGGGCACTGAGCATGAACAAAAGACCCAGTATCAGAGCGCTCATGTAACGTTCATTGATTTTTAAACCCTTGCTCTGCACAGCAATCCACAGGACACCCTTTCGCAGTACATGAGTCTTGAGAGAGTCTGGGGAGCAGCATAAGTAGTTCCATGCAACTTAGGGGGCAAAAAGCACCATGCTGGTGACACTGACACACCTTGTAGGGTGAATTCTAGTACCTCCTTATAGAATATCCCTCATAGCTACACTGAGTGATGGCAGCCAGCTATGAACTAGCTCACACAATTATAAACACTCATTTGCATTCTGCTAGTCTAAAGAACTTGCAAGAGTAAAAGATGCCCTACGCAGGAATTCTGCTTCTTACTTCACAGAGCAGAAACCTTTTTGTGGCCATTTTTCTACGAAATAAGAAACTGTCTATTCCTTTATCCCTTTGCAGGGTACTGAAATGTCTTCTAGAGTTAGGGCTGTATCAGTATGCACTTTTAGAAAACTACACGCCTCCACAATTTGCAGGATTCGGCAAGTCAAAACAGCAATAAAGTTTACTTCTGCAAGTGCGATTACATGAATGTTTACTAGGATAATGCCATTTAAAAATATAGTGTTTTAATATAACAATCTCTTCTTACAGACAAAAAAATAGTAGTTGAATAAGTATGTTTTAAAAGCAACGAGAACTGAGTAGATACCAAGTCCTACCCAGCAGAACACCCACTTCTTTGCAATTTAGGCATTTCACACACAAGAATATAGAGTTGCAGACTACATTGTGATTGTAAGTGTCCTGAGTGTAGTTCCTTCTTTTGTGAACCTTCGTAAGAGAAGTAATGTCAGCATGAAGCATTAAAGAGACATTAAAGCATATTATTCCCCAAATATATCCACAGTTGTTAAGCTGAATAGGGACAAAGCCTGAGTATTTGGGGGCAGGGGGAGGGAAATTATTTTTTAAATGAACACGGTAAGTGGAAGGAAGGATTTCTAACCACGGTTATTTTCTTCTTCTTTCATTAGGTGGTAAAAGAGTTGGCATAACCTATGTTTGTTTTCATGTTATCAAGAAAAAACATTAAAATTACAGTTACTCAAATGAAAAGCAAGTACTCGTTCATCCCTAGACCAAGCAGAAAGATTGATCAAGTTGAACAATACCAAGTAGGATAATCTCTATATTGGCCTATTTTATTAGCCTACATGGTTAAAAAAAAAAACAACAGGCATGCTGACCAGTATCACAGGTGTTAATGATACTACCGTGACTAAAACAAAAGTTAATGGATACATAGTGAAAAAAATAGTAAACCAGCTTACATTTTGTAAACTTATTTGGGGACAAATTCACAACAGTGATTTCAGCTTTTACTGAATGCAGTAAGACAGCTCTCACAAGGGCCTTCTCCCTTTGGCTGAATGCATTTTTAAAAAGCATGTTATGATCTGATAATGTAAAACCACATGCATATGCACGTACATACACCTCAGCGTGCAGACACACACATATTATAATATGTACACATACGCACACACAGAGTATACATATGGCGACACACGCTGTAAAATATTACCAGCATCAGAGCGACGTCCTACCACTGTTCCCAGCTAAAGTCATCTCCTCTACCAAACACAAGAAAAAAGCCTAAAATAGTAAGGAAAATGACTGCATTCCCAGCCAGCACCAGACCACAGGCTCCCCATTTGATCTGAAATACAAGGAAATGAAACAATCAAAGCAGTTCTTACAAGATAGGTTCAGGCCAGTTATTTGTACAACACTTCAACAGACAGGCTAATAATGCTATGTTCTTGAACAAAATAATTACCTTACCGTACAAATCACTACAACATACCTAAGTCACAGAAAAACTCTGGTTAAACTAGTGCTCTCCTTTAATTGCTATGCAACAAAATAAAAGATTGCCTTTCAAATAAATGCCAGTAACAAGCATGGATAACAGTACGTGGTCTTAAAGGCAAACAGCTTTCTTTAACGACCTGCCCAACTACGTTTACTCAAATAAGCACATTTTCTCTCAAAAGACATCGCTACGAATGAAAGTTCCCCCTCGTGGTCACTTCTGGTTCTGCCTACTGCCAGGTCCACAACTTGAAAACAAAAATGCATCGTCAGGGAAACTGTGCAGTACAAATAAATTAAAACTAAGCACACAAGTTTTAAGCGAAACTGAAAGACAGGAGGGGAAAACCAATGCAACACAGAAAAACACCATTGGGTAGTTTGGGAGACAGGACGAAAGAGTTCTTGGCTTTGCAAAGAAATGTGACAAAATCTCACCACTGAAGAGCAGTTCAGAAAGCAAAGAGAAAAGAAGCTAGCAGAATTTCCTCAGACTTTGAGGGAACAAAGCATGAGCTTGGGAAATGCTTTGAAAACCAGAAGAGCAGCTCTGGAAGTTTGGCCTTTTATCTTTTAACTGATAACACACTCCAGTCACCAAGTTTTCAGCATCCTAAATGGAGAAAGCAGACATCCTGAGATAAAAATAAGGAAGGTGGCGCAAGAAGCGGTGCAAAAGTTGATGAAACAGAGAGGCACAAGATCTAGGAAGAGATAATATCTTGTATTGGACCAAAACAAATCTGGAAAAAAAAAGAGCTAAAAACTTTTCAGTCATGCAAGTCCTTTGTTTAGGTCAAAAAGCAGCACTGACCAGCAAAATTCCAGCAGAGTGATTATTTTCAGAATGTAGAAACACCACAATAATGAACTTAAAGACGGGATTTACAAGCAGCAACAGCACACTTCAAGGTTATCCTCAGTAACCGGTAACTTACAACAAAAATCAGCAAGCAGAACTTACCGCTTCAACTCGTGCAAGGATTATAGGAAATCCAAAGGCAGAAACAACAATTCCAGTCGTGAAGAAATACGCCAATTCCCTGCAGGCACTGCTGGCTGCATCGCTGTCATCACTTACTCTTTTTGCAATGAAGTGGGGAATGGGGCAGATGAAGTAAAATATTAAGACAAACAGAGGCCAGTACACACTGGGGAGGGGGAAAAAGGAAATGCATAATCAGTTTAGGCGGACGCTTCAATAAAAAGCATCTTCGGTTTAGAAAAAGTCATTGCAACAGCTGTAATCCTACTTGCTGGTTTGCAAAGTGGATTAGGTGATTTAACCACAAGCTGCCACCCAAAGGGGCGAGCCCACCTCGCTTTCCCCGCGTGCTGGCACAAGCGCTCATACGGCCTCGCGTAGGGCAGGACCCACTCTCCCACGACGACCCAGTGTTAATTTATTTTACACTCGCACCGCCTTGCCGATTCAGCTCACACCACCGCCTCACAGCAACAAGTCACCACACAGGGAACAGGAAACTGAATCCCAGCATGGTCGGGGTTGGCAGGGACCTCTGTGGGTCACCCAGCCCAACCCCCTGCCTAAGCAGGGTCACCCAGAGCCGGTTGCACAGCACCGCGTCCAGGCGGGACCAGAGAAGAGACCCCCACAACCTCCGTGGGCAGCCAAGCAGGAGGGGAACCCAGCGCCTTCCCAAATTAGAGGGATCCCGGAGCATAAACAAGCCGAACGCGAAGGCACACCCTTGCACGCTCATCTCTGTGAGCGCTCTCATCGGCTTCATCTGGATTTTTAAATGTCACAGCCCCAGCTGGAGCCTTGCAGCAGGAGGGTTGTTTAAAACAAGAGGGAAGCAAGGGAAAGGATTGTGCGAGGTTAAAACTGACTGCTTAGCAAGATGGCACCGCTTTTCCTGAGCGTAGGGCTGGTTTCAGTCATTTTTTTTTAAGGGATATTTAAAAACCGCCTGAGGAGGCGGCATTTAATTACAACAAACCCCCGTGGGTTAAGAGCCAGAAAGCAGGCGACTGCTGGAAAATAACCAGAGCCAGACAGCTCAATTAAGTGCGATCAACGCCTCAATTAACAGATATGGAGAAGGGGAAGCTGTGGAAGCGAAGCCCGCTCACCCGTAATACTCCAGGGCGCAGCCCAGCATGAGGAACGTCAGCCCGATGGCTCCGCTGAAGGACAGCGCGACGAGAGCTGCAACGGCACAAGGCAAGGCCCTGAGGCGGGAGCCGCCTCACCCGTTACCGCTTACCCCTCC